CTTAAATGCTAAGAAAAAACAATTTTTTTTTAGCAAAAGTAAAAGCCAAGTACAAAAATATTTTATAATTTGAATTACAGTTATTTAATGAATTTAAATTAGTCATTTTTTATCTGCAGTGAAATGGAGTTATGAAAAAGAGACTAAAAATAAATTATTTACAAAAAAACCCGAAAATATAACATATAGAAAAATATCTTTGAAAAATTTGACGGAGTTTACAAGTCATTTTTTTATTTATTTATTTAATTTAAATGCCAAGGCAACGGCCGAATGGCAAATGATACAAAATAAAAAGTAAAAAGTACATATAAGAATTTAAACAGATCTACATAGATAAATTGACAAAGTTAGAATTATAACTAATCGAACAAAGCATACGATTGAAAATTTGAATAATGAAATCAACTAATTTCAATTAATAATAATGAGGTGAGTAAAAGTGAACAAGAATTTGTAGTTTGAATAATAAATGTCAGACTTAAGTTTGAATTTAAATTTAAAATTTAAAGCACTGCAGATAGCACCAATTTTAATAATTTGGATCATCGTCAGTGATACCAGGTAATCATAAATTGTTTTTTGGCAATTGTTTCAGCCAACAATTATTCATTTTGCAGTTCACTTCCAGTTTGACAATTATAATTAATTGAGAAAGAGTTTGAAATTTTACATTGTAGAAGATTGCGGAATTGATTTGCAGAGTGGATAATTTTTAATTGATTTAATCTTCCCGGAGTAAAATATACTCATTCAAGAAGGATTTAAATTACATTATTAATAAAGAAAATAATCCGTGAATTAAATTTTTTACTTTTTTTCCCCAATGAAAAAAAAAATATATATTTTGAAATATATTTTAAGTATATAGAAAATCTATAAAAAATATATAAATATATAAAAAATATGTATAATATATATATTTTTAATAACTAATTTTTTGCTGATTTTCATATATATTTTATATATTTCAAATATATTTTATATATATTCAAAATATATTTTTTTTATATTTTTAGCTATGTATTTATTATGTATTTTAAAATATATCTTGAATATATCTAACATATATTTAAAATTATTTTATTATATAAATTTTTTTATATATTTCGAATATATATTATTTATATTTTTTTTAAATGCATCAATATAGTATATTAGTAGAATGTTTTTATAATTTTTTTTTTTACAGTAATTGAATTGTTTTGAATTCTTGAAAATTATCATATGTAAATTAATTTCCTCAACATTTAAGTAATTAAAATTATATAATTAAACATAGTAAAGTTAATAATTTATTATTTTTCACTTTCGACGTTATTATTTATCAACAAGACTTAAAAACAAAATCATCTTTATCAAAATTTGATTCAATGATCTTAAGTTAAATTTTTTATAAGAGTGAAAATTCTCACTCAATTTTTTATAATATAAACTAAATTTAAAGATTCATATTTAAGTTTCCCACAATTCAGACGCATTAATATTGTTAAAAGTAATTAACAATAAAATTTATAAATCTTTAGCATCAAATCGATATGTTTAATGTTTAAAGAAGAATCAAGTGTTCGAAGTATTAAGTATAACTTTTGAATGATACTTAAGGAGGTCCTTTCGCCATCAATGTTAAATAAAAAACACTAGATTATGCATAAAATTAATTTTTATCTAATAGTTAAAGTCCTTATTTATCTACTAGTGAAGTTGAATTTATTCTTCATCGTGGAAATTTTTGAAAAAAAAATTTCTAAAAATGTTAGTATTTTTTCCGAGTCTTACGAGAAAGTTATACCTTATTAACAACTTTCTCGAATTATGGCATTAACCACCGATAAGATGGGGTAAAAAAAAAATCAAAATAAGGTTTTCGAAATATTCAGATTTAATGTTTTGCAATAAAATCTATAGGTTGCCGTGGAATTTATGGAGAAATTATAATTACAAAATCACAGAAAATTTTTAAGTAACCCACATTTAAATGGCGTCAGAACATTTGGCAACGTTGTGTAGCGCGCGAGCTTCAGACCATTCAATAAATTCAAACTAAACTTTAACGCGCTTATGTTTTTCATACATACTTATTAGTTAATTTATTGTTAACAAATTTTTATAATTCATAATTGAAAAATAAAACAATAATTAAAAAATACTAGCGTTCCTGTCATGAGATATTAGAATGTTATGGTTTTGTAACTAAACATTTTTAATTAATTTATTTATTTACATTGACTGCAAAAAGTTAAACATGGTTAAGGTTATACTGTGCAAATAAAAATGTAAACAACCGAAATAAAGCGTTGCCAAATCACGGACAGGTTACTAACAGCTGATTTACAAGGGTCAAGTTAATTTTTGTATTTAACTATTTTTTTTTTAATTTTCAAAATTTCAACGATTAATGCCTCATATACTATTTATTTTTTAATTTTAGGAATTTTTATGGGTTTTTTATTTTAATTTATCGAATATTGACTACTACAGTTGTTGTGACCCAACTGGAGCGAAAGGACTTCCTTAATTACTCGATTTACCGCACTTCTCGCTATCTGATCTATTGTCGCGAATCTCTTTACTATTGATAATTTACTATTGATCCTTAATAAATGCTAGGAACAATAAATTTTTTTTTTTATTTCCAGTAAAATTTTTCTTAAATTAATTTTTTTGTCTAATCAAATTCTTAATTTAAGCCAAAGCTTCAAAAAATTGCAATGTTTTTATTAAATTGGAAGCTATAGCTTGTCAATTCAAGATAAAAAATTCTCGTTAAGGCCTGTAAAAAATCACAAAAAAATTAAAACAATTAAAATAAAAATTGGCAGGCGTTAACGTTTGGCGCCGCAGGTTTCGAAACTTTCCTCTGACCTTAGAAAAAAAAGAAACTAGAAATAAAAATAAAGAAATAAACGACTGCATCAGTCAAGTATCTTAACTCCTGGAATTCGACCCCGTCTGTGGGACCGGTTCGAGGTCGCGGCCGCTCGGTGACCCTCTAGATAAGACCCACGCCCTAATAAGAGGGTACACATATGTTCCTCAGGATCCTCTGACCCTCAAAAAAATAATAAAAATCTCCAATCTCAATTCCCCGCGTCGCTTAGGCTATAGTTAACCGCCTCAGCCTCAGTGTCTAGTCTATAAGGGTGGAAACTTTTTTGGTAAATGCCTCAGACATTCCAGACCTTACTCCCACGTTTATTTAATTGTCCCAATTTATAACAATTTCTTTAATTTTTTACTTACATAAAAATAAATTCACTTTTTTATTATTGAAGCGACTGAAAAAAATCACAAAAAAAAAATTGTAAAAAAATAAAATAAAATTTTCTTCGCTTGCAATAAAATAGAAGAAAAAACTAAACTAGACTATAGAATATTTAAAGGTATATAATAGTACTATATTTAGACTGTCTCGAATCCATGACCTGGAAAATAAAATACAAAGAAAAAAGAAGTGCTTCTGTTTCTTCAGTGAGTACTCAAGTACCTTTAGTACTTGCAAAGTAATAAAGAGCTTAAATAAAGACATAAATGGTCCAGTTGTAAATTATTACATCTTTGGGCTGAAACATGCTCCGTATTAGGAATCCAAGATCATAAATTATTATATTATATTATCTTATATAGTTCCCTTAAAACTAGGTGATAGAAAAAATTTACGAACAATAAATATTCAATCTACTTTTTAGATAGTAAGTCTTTTATTTATATTTTCGAGAGTTTTGATTTTTTTTATAATATATAAGTTAAGTTTTTTATCGCTTAAACGACTAGGATAATTTATAATTTTATATATATTTATTAGAGTGGATATATATATATTAATTTATATACGCACTTATACTACGCAGATACTTTTTTGGTATTATGTCTTGTAACAAGGTACAGTCTACATTTTTTTTTTTTAATTATAAATTAGATTTATTTTGATCGGAAAAATTTTGTATTTAAATTTCATTTTACTGGTTTGGATTTTTAATTGATAAAAAATTTTCTAGATTTTTTTCCATCAATTTTTGGATATTTTTTTCGTAATTTTTCTTCTCAAAATTTTTTTAAGAAAAAGTACTAGTTCAAAAATTCAAAAAAATTTTCACTAGTTTTTCTTCTTAATTTTCTGGTAAAATTTGAATTTTTCTGAGTTAAAAAGTAATTATTTCATAAAATTTTTAATTCGAAAAATTTCCTAAAATGGAAATCAATTTTTTTTATAAATATTTAATTTTTTAAACATGACAAAAAATTCAAGTGAATTTTTTCTTACTCATTTTCTGAATGTAAAATCAAAATAAATTTTTCAAGTAAAAAATTTCAATTTTTCTGTGACTTGTAATAATTTTTTGAATCATACCAGAGTTATATAAATTTTTTCTGAACACAATTTCAAAAAACTAAAATTATTCAGTCAAGAAAAAAAAAATTTGAATAAAACATTTTTATCTCCCAATTTTCATTCAATTTTAATAATTCAACTTTCAACTTTCTTTTTAATGGAATAAAAATTGAGAGAATAAAAATTCCTGAGGAATGGTACAACTTTTTCTTAAAATTAACAAAAGTTGGTAACGAAGTAAAAGGTACTCTTTAAATACTCAATTAACCGATAAGAAAGACATTTTAACATAAGACCTTTTATACACATAGACACTCTCTCACCTCCCACGCGAGAAAGGTACCTTAAACATAAAAACATCGATATAAACAGCTATAGTAATCGTATTTACACCTTAAACTACACTTCTACCTTAATAAGTTAAGTGGTAACGTATCAACTAAAAGGTTTTCCTGGATAAGTACAACAGTACTGAGCATAGCAAGGCGCAAGTGGCCCTACCGGGTGGTCCGGACCCTCAGCTTTACTATTTAAATACTTTCCAGTCAAGACGGTACATATTTACAGGGAAGATAGAAGAAAAATCAACAATAGAAAACAGAGAATAGAAAATATAAAACAAAAGTACGCAAGAGATTAACTATTCTTATCGAGGATAATCTGCTATCTAGCGCCTCATAATATCCTCGATACTAAACCCAAGTTTGGGGGGCTTCTTCAGCATGGACTCGGTTCTTATCGGCAGGATCGATTGGCTCGTTTGAGTATCGACCCTTAAATCTTGGGGCACTTCTGTGTGCGTTAGTAAGTGCGTTTTCAGGTTACTTCGCTGGTTGAAGGTCCGCGAACAGACTGGACACTTATGAGGTGACTCCTCCAGGTGCAGAATCTTGTGGACTGCCAGGGTTCGGCTTTGGCAGAATCCTTTTCCGCATTCTGTGCATTTGAACGGCTTTTCTTTACTGTGGATGTATCTGGAGAATAAATAAAAATTTTTAATTAGTTTGTTTTTTAAATAGAGAATTTTATTGATGAAGAAAATAATTGCTGATATTGTATGGACAGAAAAAAATTTTTTAGTGAAAAAAAATTTTTTTTACTGTATAATTGTTATTAAAAATTGAGCAGTTATTTGAAAAAAAAAAAAATGTTGAATATTTTTAATAAGAAATTTTTTTGAATTCTATTGTAATTTTTTTTTTTTTATTGTTGATTAAGTCGTTAGAAAAAAAAATTGTTGGAAATTTTTAACTAGAAATTTTTTTTGATTAACTTGTTTTTTTTTTTTGAGTAAATAATTCGTAAATTGTTTTTAAAAAAATCATTTTTGATGCATGTAACAGAAAAAAAAATTTTAAATAAATGGACAATTCCAAATTTTTTATCAGAAGTTTACTAAAATGTTGTTCGTATTTTTTTTTTAAGTATACAATTGATAAATTGTTTAAAAAAAATTGTTATAATTCTACAGATGAACTTTTTCTAGTAATTAACAAACATAAGTTTTATTTCACAGATAAACAAACCAATTTTTGGATTTCTGAATATAAACAATTAACTTATGCGAAATTATAATTTAAAAAAAAATTATGTGGTATAAATTTATGAAACTAATTGTGGTCAAACTTCACAAAATCGATAATGAGATTCGTCCTTGATTTTTAGGTACATAAACAATTAAAAAGCGTAATGATACAATCAATTTAAATTATTGAAATGAAACAAAAATATGAATAAAATTTCTGCTGCTTCAAAATTTGAGCTCAATTCTTCTAAAAATCAAATTTTAAAGTTCCCAATTGTTTTTGTTTTGATAAAAAATTGATTTGTTTTTCACCAATAAAATTTGAACAATTGATTGTTTGTAAACAATTAAAAATCCTCAAATAAATTTTCACAAAAATTAAGTTAATATTTATCTTCTAATAATCAATTAGATTTATTGAAAAAATGTATTTTTCAATAAGCAACTGCTTTTTCACAAAACAATAATTTTTTTAATAAACAATTGAAGTAAAAATAAAATTTATTTAATTAAGAATTTGTAAACTCAATTTGTATTATTATAATTAGATATTAAATTGTTAAAAAATATTTTTCTTCCGTAAACAATTGATTTTTTATAAACAAATAAAATAAAAAAAAAACATTTTTACTCAAAAATTGAATTAAAATTTATGTTCTAATGATCAATGAGATTCACTGAAAATATTTTTTCTCTCATTAACATTTATCTTATCTTTTTTTTGTATTAAAAATTTTAAACTCAATTTTTTCATCACAAATAGATTTTACAATACTGAAAATTTTTTTTTTCTCTTTAAAATAATTGTTTTATTGCAAAAAATCAAAATAAAAATAAATTCTCTTTAAATAAGAATCTTAAATTCAATTTTCATTATTGCAATCAAATATAAAATTCTAAAAAAAATTTTTGTTCTTCTTAAACAATTGTGTTTTGATAAACAATTAAAGTAAAAAAAAAAATAATTCTTACTGAAAAATTTTCTTCTTCAACAATAAACTCGATAAAAAATTCCTGAGCTTACCGGTGATCCCTAAGATGATCCTGTCTCCGAAAAGCCTTTCCACAAATATCACAGGAATAGGGTCTCTCGTCAGTGTGTGTCCTTTCGTGAATCAACAAATTGTAACTTTTGGTAAACTGCCTATTGCAAAATTTACAAATAAACTGCTTTTTGGGCCGCTGACCGGGGAGTCTTCTCGCGAGGAAGGAGGTCGGGGGTCCAGGCAAGGGTTGCCCAGGGTTCATCTGTCCCGGGTGTGGAGGGTGGGCTGGCAATCCGTAGGGGGATCCCCGAGCCGCGATCAATGCAGCTCCGCGGACCCAGTGGTCCAGAAAAGCCGCGTGGAATCCGGGAAGATGCGCTCCTGGGTGCATTGGTCCCATTCTTGAGCCCATCCATCGACCCAGTCCCGGGTTTACATTTAGTGACGGCGGAGTGTGTGGCGGCGTCAAAGGCTCCATCTTAGCAGTTTCCATCATTGTCTGAGTACTCTAATCACTTTTAAAAAAAATACAAATTTTTATTAAAAATCCAAAAAATTGTTCAACAATCACTTCACTTTCTTGACGTAAAATTAGACGAAACTTGTTGGGTACTTGGAAAAAAAAAAACAGAAAAAAATGAGCACCTCTTAGCAAGAGGCTCAAAACGTTACTGAGGAACTGGGATCTTATGCAGTAGGTAGTAGGACTCGGTAGGACCTGAGGAAGGTGAAGCTGCTGGTGTGTAGGTGCACTCGACTGGAGCTCCTCCTGTTTGACCGGTTCGAGCTCCCGGTTGGGCGCCAAGTCTACCGGGGCGTGGCTTCTGCTCCCGAGGTTTTGTTGCCCCCAAGGCGTCGCGACGCTACTTTATCTCTGACTATAGTTTATACGCTATATAGGAGGTACGAGAAGACAAGACTATTGAGTGAACAAAATAGTACTGTTACTCACTACTCATGGATTTTTATCTACAGAGATAAAAATACTCACTACTAATCACTGACAATGAGTACTAACGGTACTGTTCAAAACATTATGCTTTACTCCCACGATTTCTATTGTAAAAACTGAATTTTCACTCCTATCACTTGGAGTATCGGAGAGAAGAAATTAAATACTCGTACACAGAAAAAAAACTTCTAGCCTTAAATTCAAGAAAATTTTAAGGAAGACAAAAGTTATTTTGGAGCAAGAAGAAATTTTCTTGGCTCAAGAAAATTTGACTTCACTTAAGAAATTTTCAATCTTTCTTGATATTTTCTTGAGCCAAGAAAATTTACTCTTTAGTCAAAAATTTTTTTTTAGTGTACGAAGTGAATCAGAAGTTGTTTTTTTCCAGTAGATTAATCCCCCCTCCCCGGATGTTTTTTTTTATTATTAATAGAAAATATATTCTTTTCGGAGTTAATTTCACTCCGGAGAAATTTAGTCATTTAAAAATCATACTCACTCCATGCACTCTCCAAATGTTTACAGAGTAAGTTATACTCAATTATTGAATAAATAATCTAGTTCTTCGCTTTTTAATAGATTGCCTCTAATTTATGCAATGACTGCTTTGAGGAAAAAATTGTTAACATTTAAAAAATAAAATCAGGAGATCAAGAGAATAATTCGATTGTAAAAAAATTTAATTTTAATGCTTATTGAAAATTATAAAAATTTTTAGATTTTGAGCTACGAGTTTTAGTTGAGATTGTCAGGGAAGGAAAAGTTCTTGAAAAGTTTTTTGTAGGAAATTTTGGGGTAAAGTGTAACAATGTTGGTATGGTATACTTTTGTAGTGTGATTATAATTTACGGAAGAATATATTTCTGTCGTATTTTTATTATAGTTCTCCCCTCTTTATTAGCATTCAAAGTTCAAAAAATAGAAAATTAGTAATTTATATAAAAAAAAAGATAAAACATTTTTTAGTGTCTTAAGTTTTCATGGAAAAAATTGAAAAAATGTTTTTTGACAGGAAATTTAATTGTAAGAATACATTATTTTTGTCATATTTTTATTATTTTACTCAGTAATCGCATTTGAAGTTCAAGAACAAAGTTATTGATGATCATTTAAAAAAATTTTAATATTCTCTAGAATCACTTAAATTTTATAAAAAAGTTATTAAAAATGTTATATAGGAAATTTAATTCCTTATCAAAAATTTAAGAATACATTTTCGTCAAATTTTTCATATCGACGTTCTAATTAGCAAATTGTCTAACTCCATTTTAGAGATTCTTCTATTTGTACGAAAAAAACAATTAGTTCAAAATTTATTATCACTTTAAAAAACCATTTAATATCATTATTATCTAATAGAGAGATAATATTTAGATTTGAATCATTCAAATAATCTATAATTCGATTATGACTACATCAAAATGTTAAAAAATCACCCTCTAAAAAATAAGGAGAGACAAATTGCTAATTAGACCGTCGATATGCTACGCAGAATTTGCATCTGCAGATGACAATCTGCAGATTCTTCATGAAGTTCAAAAATAAAACTATAATCACCATCCCAAAAAAGTGAAATAATTCTTCAAAATCTTAAGTATTGAATTAAAATAAATTTAAAAAATAATGTCTACAAAAAATTCAATTTTTCAATCCTGAAAAATTAAGTTTTTTTTACATTTCACCACAATTTGCATTATAATAATCAACTGAAATCCTAAGGCAAACTGTCAATATTAAAAATTAATAAAATGGAACGTCATTAACATCAATCATCCCTACATTAGATCTATGACGTGTAATGTTATTTAAAATCAACAATTTACGACTAATAAGCACGTCAGCTGACACTGATATCGACACACATGCTTACATAAATAAAACCTAACGTTACGTCGGTTATCAATTTTTTTATTGACACACCAACTCGAAGTGTTTAAGTTACACATTTAATTAAAGATAGGAGATTCAAGGTCTAGCGACAGAAGCTGCCCGATAATCTAAATTTTTTCTAACCATCTCATAATGCAGATGCGAATAAGGCAGTCATTAGCTCAAATAAATTACGCACTTAAGCAGGACATCTGGCGATTTTTTAGCGGAGAATTTAAGTAGTCGAATTGATATTATCGAGATGAGCTATTTTTTTTATAACATCCACTAAATTAAATTAGCATGTATGCTGTATATACTAGTTGATAATAAGCGATCGACTTATTAATAGCCGAGGCGATGCGATAAACAACATGGAGTGAAGAGACGAGAAGATGGCGGCGTGACGTCATCTCGATATCAGCCCGCTTCGCAACTTTAACTGGTTGTTAACCGCTTAATAGTGCGTGGAGGAAATTTATGGCGTGTGGGTCCGATTCCAGGCCACTGAACCATTTCATACATATATAAATATTAACATTAACCTCCCAGTGGTTCATGATCGTGGTAACATGCGTATAATCTACCGCGGTGCATGTATTTAAGGATACCGATACAATCAATTGATTAAATAACGCCATTACTAATTGGAACATGATTTCAGTCCTTGTTAAATCCTTTTTTATCCTCTCAGGTTTTCATTTTGCTCATCCGCCGGTTAGTATATTTATATATAGGTTGCAAGGTAATCTCATTATGCGTTAACAACACCTCACAGCTGGATGTCCAGGTGTAACTCCTACTCGAGAGTTATACTGCCGATCTTTTTATCGCCTTTCAAGCACTCATTTCTGTTAGGACCAAATTATTTGATGGTTCCATTTCGTAGATCATTATCATTATAGCTTTAAGTGTGACTTACATTATTTTAACGCCTGTTAGATGAGTAGTGATTTTTTCTGTTCTAATTTTAAAGAACTAAAAATAATCAAAAAATTTTTTTTCTAATAATTAAGCAGTTCACTGTTGAATTAAAAAATTCAAATTCTTCGATGAAAATTTGATTATTTTTAGACAAAATGAAATTAATCAGCTGTACTGCTTGTCTAAAAAATTTGAATAATAAAATCATTGGACCTTACAAATATATTGTATTTTTACAAGATTTATACAATTGTGCAACAAACAAATAACACTTTTGAAAAAATAATTTTTCAATATACTCGAATCGAAATAATCTTAAAAATAAAATTTTACCAAGAACTCAATAAATGTTGCGGTACTAAATCGTCAATGTCAAAATTTTTATTGGTCAAAGTATTAGAACAAGAATATGTTTTTTCGGATTACAATGAATTATACTAACACTTATATTATTCTCGAAGAAACTGCTTTGTTTATATGAAACTATATACACATGAACTGTATTAAGATTCATATAGACGTTCTGATTAGCAAATTGTCTAACTCCATTTTATAAAATCTTCCATTCGTATGAAAAAACAATTATTAGTTCAAAATTTATTATCACTTTAAAAAACAATTTAATATCTCGGCTGCCCAATTTCAAAACACAGTAACTAACATTTAAAAATTTTTTTCAATTTTTCTTATTAAAAAAAAGTTTGCCCACCAAATTGATGAAAAATTTGATTTGCGAATAGAAAATACTTAAATATAAATATTTTTAAGAAAAAATACTTGAAATTGAGGTCTAAATGTTATAAAAAATGCAACAATACTAGAAAAAATCAGGTATAAAAATTTTACAGTTACTGTGTTTTAAAATTGGGCAGCCGATCTAATAGAGGTATACTATTTTGGTTTGGATCATTCAAATAATTTATAATTAGACTCTATATACTGCTACATCAAAATGTTAAAAAAAATCACTCTCTAAAAAATAAGGAGTTGGACCAATTGCTAATTAGACTGTCGATATATCTCTAAAACTTACTAAAAAATGTATAAAAAGCCAAAAAAAATGATAATATTTTCGAAACCAACATCTGTTTAAAAAATAGAATTTATGGTGGTATTTAAAAGTTATTTCTGAGACAAAAGTTTCAAAATTTATTTTTTAAAGTATTTTTTCAAATTTCAAAAGCCACAAAATTTTAAAAAATCCTGGAGAAATGATTAGTAGATTCAATTTAAACTAATTATAAGAAATTTATTAAAAATTTATCAGATTTGAGTTATCTTACACAGTAAAAATTTTACGTCATCATTTTACACACAAATCGTGTGTAACGATAGATGAAAAATATATATTTTTATATTAGTATTGTACATAGCAAATGATTAATGTATTATACGTAAAAAATTTTGAGCACTAATTTCAAACAAATTGACCGAATTTGAAAGTATTTATCACAAATTTTAAAATCTATGGAAAAATTTCGGAAAATAAATAATTATTAGCTTTTAAAGCAAAGCTAATTTTACTTATTTTTTTTCCTACAGGTCAAAAGTCAAAAAATTGAACAGTCAGTGCATTTTCCCAAAATCCAATGCACTCATCTTAGTATTTTTTTATAACGTCTGACGGATTTAAGATCTAAGAAAAATATTCCGAGCAGTGGACAATTAAGGTGACTAGAAAATACATACTTATGCTTATAAAAACGACAGTTTTGGGTGTACATAGTGCTTAGGTTCTCAACAAAGACTAA